TTTCTGTGACTGCTATACAAGTTGTTGTAAAGTTATAAGTTTGGTAAATTTTAGTTTTAAAATCGCAGTTGACTCACACCGAGGTACCACAGACTACAGGGATGCAATCATACTAGCCACAGGTCCCAACACCAGGGACACGAAGGGTCATGAGCTCCGGAACTCACCGGTACTGATTAACCACTGTACAAGAATTGTCAACAAAAGTCAAAGTAGTAGACAGGTTTCCCATTACGCCTACTTCTTGCTGTTCCACACCTCTTATAGACCATAAAAAAAGCAAACCAATCTCCCTATTGAAGTAAATGTACTCAACATGTTCATAGGTTAAAATATGAGGAAAACACTGATGAAACCACTGTATACTTGTTTAATCCATATAATTGTCACAACGATAATATGCATGTTAAGCAATGTATGCATTATAAACTTTTACCCCCAGATTCTTTTTTCTGTACCCCTCCCCCATAAACAAGATCTTCAAAATAAAGAATTTATTAATAAAAAAAAAAAAATCGCAGTTGACTACTTGCAATATTTGTTTACCAATTCTAAACATTAATTGAAATCCTAGACATAGTGGGCTTTTTAACGATCAGGACTAATTAATGAATATATTTTGAGTTGCACATGTTGTGTAGAAATTATTAAGTGTACAACTGAAAATATTGTGGCGAAACCAACCTCGCCACTGTGAACTGGAGAAGCCTGGTTGCTCGCCTGCTCCCTTTGGACTATGGCCCTGCAGGTTAAACCGTTTATTTCCCCTGCAGAAAGGCTTATTTGTGTGATCTGAGTGCCATTCATCTAATAATGTGCACTCAGATCCCAGCTATCTGGGGATATGTGAAATGTCTGTGTGTTATGTGTAAATGTGACTTTATGTATTTTAAAGTGTTTTGTGTCTTTTTGCAACCATGTGCTTAATGGAGTCTTGTGTCTATCCTGGGAGATAATTGAATTACTCTCAGGATAGAAGACTCTGAAACTGGTTTGGGCCAGAAAGCCATGCTTCATTTAGTCACAAAGGACTTTTTACTAACTTTTGAACCCCTTGGTCTGATTTGTTTTTTTGAATATGTTGTTCCCCTGAATGGATTGATTGTGAATATGTAATTTTATGTGAATGTGATGTATGGTTTTGGAGTTATGAAAGTTGGGTAGAAAGTATGTTTTAACTGTATGTATAATTGAGTTTCCTCTCAGGATAAGGGGAGGGAATATGTGGGATGTAACTGTGATGTGATTGGTTGTTTTGTAACGCCCTGTGGGCTGTACTATGTTTGTGGATTGGGAATAAAAGAGACTGTATGTGACAGTACAGGGAGTTCCTGTTTTAACCCTCAAAGTGAAGTGTCGTCTCATTATTGGGGGAAGGATTTATTGTATGCTGTTCCAGTTTGACTGCTAGGAGAGTAAACCTATTCGTATGGTTCCTATTCAACTGTCTACAGCATTCATATGCTTGGGAGAATTTATTTGTTTCTCCGGTTCGGTGATTGTGGTGTCTGCCAGAGTGCTTGGAGTTCTCAGGAAGCGCTAGGAGCATCCTTCAACGTAGGTACCCAGTCGGGGTGCCAGGTGATCCGTTACATTGGTGGCAAGCGGTGGGATGGCGTCCTAGTGCGAGGTAAAGCAGCTCAAAGACACAGTTCGTGGATTTACAAATTGAAGGCGACGCTAGTGTTCATACAGCGTCCCTGTCTACATAAAGATTTGGGAAAACCAGCACTACTTCAGAGATGGAAGGCTGTGCAGTATCTCACTTTGACGCCAGGCTCCAGCAGCGACTACAGGATGTGATGCGCAGTATGGTGTATCCTATCCCAGAGGAAAGAGAGACAGAGTGGAGGGTGGCGCTTCGTACCGATCTCTGGAAGGAGGACATCGACGAAATTCGACCCTTCCGGTGCGAGGAAATCCTGACCACTAACCAGCGCCAAGCAGAACAACTAGAGCTGCGGATGCCGTTATTGGGAAACCAGCCCTCAGAGGAATGGGTAAGCGAACTGGAGACGCTAGTTGAGACTGATGTGTGGCTGGATGATTCCTATCGGGCCCTGCGGTGGCATGTTTACCACCTCTACCCATGGCTGATTGAGTACAAGTGTATTGAGGGGGAAGACTACGACGGCCCTGGTTTGTTGTGGGATACTATTGAAACTAGTCTCTGGTTCGGAGACACCGACATTGCTCGCTTCTGGTCCATCCGAGCTGAGCGGGCAGACAACTGGGACCTTACAGAGATCGATGCCATTCAGCCAGATCTATGTTTTCTTGCCAACCGAGAGTGGGAACTAGAACAGGATTATGTTTGCCTATTCCAACGTATAACGCCGCCTGTCTCTGACATGATGGGGCTTATTGACTGTATACCACCGGAAGCATTGAGTTTAGTTCCTCCTCCCCAGCAACCAAGCCTGTTATCAGGAGACCTTGGTACTGTACCACATATATCCCAACCAGCCCCAGAGATGGAAGACCTTATTGACTTGTCCTGGGAAGACACCCAGCTGGCAGGTGGGGATGGGACCGAGGTCTCTCTACAGGCCCTACAGGGATGCTGGGCAGTCAGCCCAGATCCCCAGTGGCAGTATGTATCCCAGGGAGCTGAAGGTGCTGTACTTCCTCCCCAGCGGCAGTGTGTCCTGCAGGAAGCGGAGACAGTCGGTCTCGCTCCCCAGCAGCAGGCCAATATATTAAAAGGGGAGACAGTTGGTCCCCCTCTCCAACACCAGAGAGTGTTCCAGGGAGAGGAACCGGTTATCACCTCTCCCCAGCAACAGGACAAATTATTGAAAGGGGAGACAGTCGGTCTCCCCCTCCAACAGCAGAGAGAGTGTCAGGGAGAGGAGCTTGTTATCCCCTCTCCCCAGCGGCAGTGTGTATCCCAAGGAGCTGAAGGTGCAGTCCTTCCTCCCCAGCGGCAGTGTGTACCCCAGGGAGCTGAAGGTGCAGTCCTTCCTCCCCAGCGGCAGTGTGTACCCCAGGGAGCTGAAGGTGCCGTCCTTCCTCCCCAGCGGCAGAGTGTCCTGCAGGGCGCAGAGACTGTCAGTCTCGCACCCCAACCACAGGACAAAATAATGAAAGGGGAGACAGCTGGTCCCCCTCTCCACCAGCAGAGAGAGTGTCAGGGAGAGGGGCCTGATACCCCCTCTCCCCAGCGGCAGTTTACAGTTCAGAGAGAGGAGCTTGTTACACCCTCTCTCCAGCGGCAGCCTAACCCAGCAAGGGGAGATGTTACACCCCCCAACAGTGCAAATGGGACTGTAGTCTCTGCACTTACAGCACAAGGGGTAGGGACAGTCGGTCATGTTCCCCAGCCACAGAGCGGTGTATCCAGAGGGGAGACAGTCGGTCTCTCCCTCCCACAACCAGGCTCCCACCAGGCTACTTCTGTGGTAGCACTGGCATCAGGGCAGAATACCGCTGGTCTCTGCCCACTCAGCAACCCACCAAGGCAGCCTAACAGTTGCCCAAACAGTCGTGGTGAGGCACCTGGACATGGACAAAGTTCTCCTCTACCCAGGTGTAGTAACCAGTTATTGTGGGTGGGCTGTACTGCTGTTTCTGTTTTGTGGGTGGGTTGCTGGACTAGCCAGGGCACTGACCGGCAGGAGGTCAGATACCCTGTTAGTCTAGTTGGTAAAGGGGAGAAGTGTGGCGAAACCAACCTCGCCACTGTGAACTGGAGAAGCCTGGTTGCTCGCCTGCTCCCTTTGGACTATGGCCCTGCAGGTTAAACTGTTTATTTCCCCTGCAGAAAGGCTTATTTGTATGATCTGAGTGCCATTCATCTAATAATGTGCACTCAGATCCCAGCTATCTGGGGATATGTGAAATGTCTGTGTGTTATGTGTAAATGTGACTTTATGTATTTTAAAGTGTTTTGTGTCTTTTGCAACCATGTGCTTAATGGAGTCTTGTGTCTGTCCTGGGAGATAATTGAATTACTTATCTCCAGGATAGAAGACTCTGAAACTGGTTTGGGCCAGAAAGCCATGCTTCATTTAGTCACAAAGGACTTTTTACTAACTTTTGAACCCCTTGTCTGATTTGTGCCATTTTTGAATATGTTGTTCCCCTGAATGGATTGATTGTGAATATGTAATTTTATGTGAATGTGATGTATGGTTTTGGAGTTATGAAAGTTGGGTAGAAAGTATGTTTTAACTGTATGTATAATTGAGTTTCCTCTCAGGATAAGGGGAGGGAATATGTGGGATGTAACTGTGAGGTGATTGGTTGTTTTGTAACGCCCTGTGGGCTGTACTATGTTTGTGGATTGGGAATAAAAGAGACTGTATGTGACAGTACAGGGAGTTCCTATTTTAACCCTCAAAGTGAAGTGTCGTCTCATTATTGGGGGAAGGATTTATTGTATGCTGTTCCAGTTTGACTGCTAGGAGAGTAAACCTATTCGTATGGTTTCCTATTCAACTGTCTGCAGCATTCATATGCTTGGGAGAATTTATTTGTTTCTCCGGTTCGGTGATTGTGGTGTCTGCCAGAGTGCTTGGAGTCCTCAGGAAGCGCTAGGAGCATCCTTCAACGGAGGTACCCAGTCGGGGTGCCAGGCGATCCGTTACAAATATATATATATATTTTAAACTTTTTTCCATTTTTATAATATATTTTTTATATTTAATATTGTTATTTATACAAATGTGTGTGATAACGTGAAGGCAGAGAGGCATATGACATTTAACCACAGGAGGGGTATGCGTGGTATGTGTTATAGGCAACACAAACTAAAGTTTAGTTATGGGTCCCTGGGGTGGAGCATTTGGAGAATATGGCGGGCCGGTGCTCCACTCCTCAGTTTATATACAACTGGGAGAAGAAAGGTCCAGGAAAGGGTTTTGAACTGTCTCCAACCCACTGCTCAGCTGCAGATAATCAGCTGCAGCAGTGGGAATAAACCCCTCCCTACTAGGCAGGAAAAGGGGGATTGCTGGCTTCCTCCCTGGAAGCAATTAGGAGAGACGGTCAAGATTTAAGGTGGCTGAGCGCTGGAGTGCAGAATGATGCTATTTAACAAGGTTGGTGAAACCTATGATAGGTTTTAAGTTTAACCCTTAATAGAGAGGGAAATTGAAAGTCAGTGAGTGCTCAGACGGGCAAGGTTTTTGTTTAAAGGGAAACCTGTTACAATATTGTTTCTTTAGTTGTGTTGCTGTCTCCTGTGTGGATTTACCAATAAAGTGCCTGGATTATATTAAAACCAAAGGACTGTGCATGTTGTTTACCCTAGAGGACCATGCTAACTGCAAACAAGGATCACAAAGGGTATAAAAAGAAATGCCTATTAGTTCTTTGAAAAATGATAAATAATATGTATAAGTGCACTTAAGCAGAAAGGCAGAAATTCTGGTAGAATAAACACACAGCAAAAGTGTCAAAAAGGTCATAGTCACAAATGCATCGCATTTCAAAATAGCATTGATCCTTAATAAGTAAAAACCCTTTAACTTTTTAGAAGAAGTACACCCCACTTAGTTTTTAGCTTCTAAGGACACTTGCCAATTGTTTTTTCATTCTTCATTTCCAAATGTGATTGTACCGACCTCAGGAAGATGAAATAAGAGAAAAGTGCTTCAGATGGTACTAAACTGCAGAAACAAATCAAAAATAGTGAAATAAAATGCAAAATAGTTTTATAAAAGTTACGTATAATTCAAGAATTAAATTATATTCACTCCAGTTGCATATACACATACATGCAAAATTAAAAATACAGAAAAAATTAAAAATATAGAAATTACCGTACATTTTTACACTCATGTAAGGCAGGTGTTTGCAGCTGTATGTTAACTTATCTCTGATGTTCCATACAAGCGAGTAAAGTACATATATAAACACATTATTAATAAAAGAGCATAAATTGTATCATGAATCTTACCTTATTTAATAGTCAATTGAGCAGTCACAAGCCTGTAATATATCGGTTATCTCCAGGGTATTCACTAAATATATCTACTGGAAACCATATTAATTATACTGATCTTATATAGGCAAACAACAAATTATCTGTCATCCTCAGCTATACAACAAACTTATGATCTACTTGCTTAAAGTGACACTCTAGTCACCAAAACAGATTTTGCGTAATGAAGCCATTTTAATGTATAGATAATGCCTCTGTAGTCTCACTGCTCAATTCTCTGCCATTTAGAAGCTAAATCACTTTGCTTATGCAGCCCTAAGCACACCTCCCTTCATGTGACTTACACAGCCTTCCTAAACACTTCCTGTAAAGCGTTATCTAATGTTTACAGTTCCTTTATTGCAAATTCTGTTTAATTTAGAGTTTCATATCTCCTGCTCTATTAATAGTTTACTAGACCTTGCAGGAGCCTCTTGTATGTAATTAAAGGGACACTATAGTCACCAGAACAACTACAGCTTATTGAATTTGTTCTGGTGAGTAGAATCATTACCTTCAGGCTTCAGAGAAAATGCAGTGTTAACATTACAGCCTAGTGATAACTTCACTGGCCACTCCTCAGATGGCTGTTAGAGATCCTTCCTGGGTCAAGGCTGCTTAAAATGCATCCAAACATTCAGTGTCTCCTCCCTCTGCATGCAGACACTGAATTTTCCTCATAGATATTCATTGATTCATCTCTATGAGGAGATGCTGATTGGCCAGGGCTGTGTTTGAATCATGCTGGCTCTGCCCCTGATCTGCCTCTTTGTCAGTCTCAGCCAATCCTATGGGGAAGTATTGTGATTGGATCAGGCTACCAGTTCTGATGATGTCAGCAGACTGCTTGTTTTTCTGAGTCTAAAAGCATGCAGAGTTACAGCTTCAGGCTTGAATACAGTAAGTTTGTACTATATTTATGGAGGCATGAGGGGCCCAGGGGGGCTAGATGGTGGTTTTAACACTATAGGGTCAGGAATACATGTTTTTGTTCCTGACCCTATAGTGATCCTTCAAAGTTAAATTTTACAGAGCAGGAGATAAAAAAAACATTTAAAGTAAGTAACATCGAACTGAAAATGAAAACATTGTTTTTCAGACAAGCTATGTCAGTCACTGCTAAGGGAGGTATGACTAAGGCTGCATACACAGAAGCAAAAGTGATCTAACTCCTAAATGGCAGATAATTGAGCAGTTACGCTTCAGAGGCATGATCTACACACAAAAACTGCTTCATTAAGCTAAAGGTTTTTTTGGTTTCTATAGCCTCCCTTTAATGAATAATTCATGTTCTATTGCACAATTTAGGTGTGTAAATTAAAAAGTACACTATAGTCATTATTTTATCCATTTCAACAATTTCATCTCATTGTAGTGGTAATAGTGTCTGGGGTCTCCTGGTGCAATTCTTCCATTCAATGTTGAACTATTTTCAGTTTAACACTGAACAGTAAGATGAAATCAGGGGATTCCAGACACTATAACCACTGCAATAAGATGAAATGGGTAAAGTGCACAGAGTGTCCCTTTAAAGTAAAAATGGTCAGCTTATTGTACATATGATATACAAATGCCAAAAATTCCAAACAAATCTGCTGTGGTGATAATTCAATAAAACTGTAAATATAAATACAGAAAATCACTCTTACACCTACCACATATAATTTGCTTTTATAGGTATGTATATAACAGTGCATTTTTAATTTTTTTATTTTTTTATGAATCCCCCTGCATATGCACAGGTGTCAGTTTCAGTAGCACAGGTGGATCTGTCGACATTCATGATTGGATAATTGTGCTTGTGTACAGATATTGTGAAAACCATCAAAATATAGGCACAGCTTGTGCATAATGGCCATATGAAATCAGCTGCTCTTAAAGAACACACATCGGTGTACAGAGAAGCAAAAAAAAAAAAAACCTCAAACCATAAAAAACATGATTGTTTAAAACAGCATATTTACAGCGATCTTTAAAGTTGAATTTTTCTGTGCATGGACAAAATGAAAAGTGAGGTCGCCTGAAGGAAATAGATGACAAGCAATGCTACAAATTACTGAAGGTCAATGGAGTAGCAGTCAGTGGTTAATCAATTAAGTAGCAAGTTAAAGTTGCCAGCTCTGTGTTTTCTTAGAGTAATCAACTCTCTGACTCATGTAGTCTAATAAAATTGACTTGTTATTTATGTCTTCACTTGACTGATGCATGGGTATTCCATAGACCTTCGATGTCACAGCTTAAAGACTTCCTCAAATGCCAACAAGGGACAGAAAGAGTTTAAATTATTCTTTCTCTTCATCTCATCTAATATAACGGAGTGCCATCTGACTTCAACATATTTCTTATTTCAACTCAGGATGCAAATACATTGCATTAGCTTGATTGAATGGTGGAAAAATTGTGCGGCATAAAATAAAAAATAGACAAAAATACACAATTTCAAACATCATGTAAAAAAAACAGTAATATTACTCTCAAAACATATAATTTAATCAAATAAAATATGATTTTATGATAAAAAAAAAATTACTTCCAAAACGAATGATATGGACTATTGCATTAACTTAATGCTTCCGAAGACAAGATTCTTGGTAATTTCCAATATTTCATGCGTCCATAAATATAAACTACATTTGCAGGCCAGCAGGGACAACCAAATCTGCAAGAGTACAAGTAAATGAGAAAAATAAATATGGCTACAATATTAAAACATACCAATATACACAAAAAATAGGGAGGGACCAAAAAAAAACTGGTCACATTTTGCTTCAACAGCTGTAAACATAACTAACAAAAAAAACAGTGATTTTATATTAAAAAGAACAATTCTTATCAATTATGTAATTTAAAAAAAAAAAAGTTAACACTCCAAGTTCTGATAATTAAATTCACAGACAAAAAAAGAGGAAGAAACCGAGCTAGTTTATATAAGCAAAAGAATATTTTGTGAATTTTATAGGTTACAACAAACCAGTAAATGTGAGCCTAACACTAAGTAAGTTAAGGAATGGAATATTTGCTAGAATGTATTTAGTTTTTCCAATATACAAAAAAATATGAAAAAAAAAATAAAACTTAATAATGCAGCATCGTTATTGCAATCTCCTTTTACAGTTGTAAATGCAGTCTGTCGGGAACCTTTTATCTGGCTCATCAATATTGCACTCTCTATTGAGAGAGCTTCCATCTCACTTGGATGTCATGCACTCTAGTCCCCTTTAATCACGATGCGATATATATTGAAGAAAAGATAAAGAGCATTAGACTATAGCATTTTAACCCCTTAAGGACACATGACATGTGTGACATGTCATAATTCCCTTTTATTCCAGAACTTTGGTCCTTAAGGGGTTAAACAAAACCTAGTAGATTGTATAATCATGTGCTATGGAATCCCTAATAATTAATGAACTAGGATATTTATATGGGCAATTCTTTTTAACCCCTTAAGGACACAACTTCTGGAATAAAAGGGAATCGTGACGGGATATTTCCATCATGTGTCATTAAGGGGTTAATAATATCACATTATATAATGGTTCTGTGTGTGTTCTGCAGTAAAGATCCTATACTTGTTGAGCAGATTTATATAGAAGAATTAGAATTCTCACCTGAGAAATTGGGGCTAACTACCAGTGTGAGGGAGAGGAAAGTGGAGATTACTGTATAAGACACTATTTAGATCCCATTTCAGATTTTTACCGTGTGAGGATAGTGCATTGAGGTTAACCCCTTAAGGACACATGACATGCGTGACATGTCATGATTCCCTTTTATTCCAGAAGTTTGGTCCTTAAGGGGTTAAATGTACTATAGGTTTCCCCTTTTTTAACTAAATTCCCCCAACTCAAAGGCTTCACCTTTCCAGCATTTCTAGACACTTTTCCAGTTGACAGGGCCAGACTGGGGATACAAAGCAGCCCTGGAAAATAATTTTGTGCCAGCCCCATAAGTCACTGCGCCATATATTGTCGCATGTAATATGTAAGGCTATGTCTTGCCATGACAGATGATGGAGTAATATATATATATATATATATATATTGCTTTTTCTAATATAAAATATTGGTCCGTTCAGGGTAAAACGTTTAATTATACAGTAAGCATACTCACATGCAATTTCACTGACATCTCAATGACATACACAAGCTCATTGATACACAGCCTCATAGACAAACAATCTTACTGATATACATCAGCTCATTGACATAAAAACACAAGCTCACTCACTAGCAGGCACACGCATGCAAGCAAGCTCACTCACTAGCAGACGCACACACACAGCTTAATGTAGTGGTACTGGTGTCTATAGCATGTCCCTACAGGCTTTTCAACGTAAACACTGACTTTTCAGAGAAAAGGCAGTGTTTACATTGCTTCAAAGTGACACCGCTAGTGACAGTCACTCAGATGGCAAGGCCAGTCGAGGGGAGACCAGCACGCTGCGTGGGGGAAAAAAAGGTGAGCAAAAACACTATTTTTAAACACACATATACACCATGACTGACACAGAAACACACATATATCATGACAGATACACACCCAATGACACAGACAGGCACACACCCCATGACACACACACCCCATGACAGACAGTCACACACACACCCCATGACAGACAGACACACACCCCATGAGACACACACACACACCATGATGGACAGACAGACTCACCATGACGGACAGACACACACACCATGACACAGACAGACACCATGACACAGACAGACACACACACCATACAGACAGACACACACCATACAGACAGACACACACACACACCATACAGACAGACACACACCATACAGACACACACACCCCATGACAGACAGACACACACTCCATGACAGACACACACACACACCCCATGACACAGACACACACACCACGACGGACAGACAGACTCACACACACACCATACAGACAGACAGACACACACACACACACACCATACAGACAGACACCATGACACAGACAGACACACACACATACCATACAGACAGACACCATGACACAGACAGACACACACACACCATACAGACACCATGACACAGACAGACACACACACACACCATACAGACAGACACACACACACCAGAGAGAGACACACACACACCATACAGACAGACACCATAACAAACAGCCACAAACACCATAACAGACAGACAAACTCACACTGACACACATTACTAATACCTGCCAGGGGGAGGTCTTCTGGTGGCCGCTGGGGGAGGTCTTCTGGCGGCCGCTGGGGGAGGTGTACTGGCGGCTGCTGGGAGAGGTCTACTGGCTCTGCTCTCCCGCCCTCGCGCGCTGCTGAATGGGGCCGGAATATGACGTCATATTGCGGCACCAGTCTCATTAAGCTGCGCGCTGGGGAGCAGAGCCAGCGCAGCTCCCCCAGCCGCCGCCAGTACAAGTCCCCCAGCGGCCGCCAGAAGACCTGCCCCAGCGGCTGCCAGCAGACCCAGGTGTCGACGGCCCACCGGGAAATTTCCCGGTATCCCGGTGGGCCAGTCCGGCCCTGCCAGTTGAAATGCCAAAACACAACACTTAGGCTACTGCACAAAAAAATCAGCCACACTCAACACTCAACAAGCACATACAGGCACAATAAGCCACCCCGCTCCCCCCACATATAGTTCTCTGCCTCTTCCACACATACACAACAATCACCCACTGCACTCACACATACAACAGGCACAGAAAAGAGCCCAAGGCTCTAGGAGTTGGCCCCAATCTGGCATCTGACTTAAGGCCCAGTTCAACCTTTATCCATCGCTGCCTATAGGTCTATGTCCTCTTCAGCTTTTGGTTATTTCAGCTTTATTGGTGAAACAATGCTTTTGATTCTCAGCCAGCTGTGTTAAAGTCATACGTTAAAATGAAGAGGTTGTTTGTGTTTCAAATTCTCAATAAAATAAATAAAACACCGCTAACCTATTTTATTCGACAGACTGTCTATTAAACTTTAAAGCTTAGCATTAAGACTATCGTGCATTTTGCTTTGGTACTAATTTGATTTCCTCTTCTAAGGCACAGACTTGCAGAGTACATGCGTCTGTAATGCGTGAATTATTTATAAGGTGTTTCACATTGCATTAACTGGGGCAATCACTCAGTATTAAAATCATGTTGTCATATCACATTATGTCTGGATCCCCCATGTCTTTTAACCATCTGAATGCCTGTAGTGCACTCCTGCTATCTATTTAGAATTTAATTGCAATTTATATTTAGGTTTAACTAAGGACAAAAAGCAGATATTGTAGTGTTATAAGAATAAACATATGTTGTATTTGTATTCTCTTTAAAATAACCTATGTGCATTAAGATAATTAAAAGATTGAAACCTCACAAGACCTTCCATATAGGTTGAGTGTTACCTGTGTCAGAGTGCATTTGAGTGGTTGACTGTAAAAATGGGAAAGTTTGTCAAAAAAACTTTTCTGTGCAAAAAATGTCCACTAATACAGCTAGATTTGCATACATGGAAACCTCCATCCTTTCACACCATAGGACAGGATAAATGCATAGTATTACATTACAGATTCGATTTGTTGTGACCTTGTTTGTTGTCTCTTCTACTGTTGGCTTCATTCCTTCCAGAGATGTGCCATCTTGTGTAAATTTTAAAGCCAGACAGCTGACTTTTACATTACCGAGAGCTTGCATCACTGTAAGAAAGCACATTTGAGCTCAATGTACTTTCTGGTGACAGATTCTTAAACACAGCTCTCCACGGAAAGGAGACTGTTTCAAAGTTCTTTGCAGATTGCTAGCACATCCCAGTATTATTCTTGGTTCATGTTCAGCCAGTTTCTAATTTAGCCTCATGTTAATTTACTCTTGACTTGGCCTAAATCAATTAGTTTTCTCAATTCTCCTTGACCTCAGCTTGTACCCGAAATAAGCTTTAATTTATACAGCTTAAGAGTGAAGAAGCAGAGAAATAAGAGACCCTAGAAATTAAGTAATCGAAATTAATTCAGAAAATAAAATGGGGTAATCCTGACTTAAAGGGAAATCAGAGAATTGCTAAAAATGTTGCACAGGTAAGGTATTGCAATCAGTGAATGGGAAACACACAGTTTTAATGTATATGATTAGCAGGGCTGGTGCATAGATTTTTGGGTACATGAGCGAAGATGCATTTGGCCCAACAGAATCCAGTGTTTTTAGCTTGTTCCAGGCTCCTTGTTGTATAATGAAGAAATTAATAAAAGTGTCACGCTACAAACATCCACCAGACTGATTGGAGATCCAAGAGAACTTAAACAGTGGTAAAGGCTTTAGCAGGTAATTAGTTAAATGTTAGAACAATGAAGTGAAGTCAAATTAACAGCGGTCAAGGCTGGCAAAGTCACACGGAAATCAATCGATTGAGAACCAGATTAAATAGATAGATACATGTATATACCTGTATGGAAAGACAATGTTAACAGAAGGTTTAATTTAAACAGATCTAATTGAAAAACATATATCTAAACTACTATCATTACCACAGCAGGCCCTGAACACATTTGTATTCCCCTCAATTACACAAACAAAACCAAAAAAAGAAAATATTGTCATATTACAAAAAATGAAGTGACAGAATATAAACATTTTTACAGTTCTTTTAAATGACTAGCTATAAGTAGTTTTCCTCTTAAAAATGCTGGGGAAAAAATGAATAAAAAAAAAATATATATATATATATATATATATATATTGAATAGTGTAGGCTGTAAATAAATATATGTAATATGATTTCAACAATTTAACTCAACAACACTGATAAGGTTCATTTCTGTTCAGCTAAAACAACAACCGTGTACATTGCAAGTACGTCACCTACATAGTTTTGCACCTGACCATGTCAGAACGTCACTTACCTAGTCTTGGCACATGGTCATCTTTGTTCTCTCTTATTCTAAGAAGACACTACCCCTACATACTCCTATTCTAAGAAGACACTAGCCCTACACCCTCCTATTCTAAGAAGACTCCACTTAGTAATGCCCCCTAGATAAGTTTTGTATTAATGATAGGTTATATTCTCTCACCATGTTGTATGCATGAGCTGTCCATGATATTAGTTAATAGTTATTAAAATTTGATTGGTAATTAATGATACTCCCCCTAGACTCCCCTTTATTGCATGCTATTATAAAACCTTTGTTATGTTTAATAAACGTTGAAGATTCTCTGCATTGACTCTGTTGTATGGTCTACCCAATGATTGGTCCACGAGTACATGTGGCGTGGTTCAGTCTGGATAGAACTATACTTTATAAGTCCATGGTAGAGGTCTGGTGATTACCTAAGTATGTTAATCTTTAAACCTAAATTATCTATTTTCAAGGGACTTGAATTGAGTCTCCTCCCAATGCCAATATATTCATGGCGAGTTGGGAGGAGAATTTCATTTATGGGGACCATGGCTGGCGGGCACATGTTCTTGCCTATCGCCGTTA